TGTTCAATACTTATTTTACCCGCTGTATATATATATAGCAGTGAAGATGTGGCCTTAGTGTGACATTTATATGGAAGTCAGATGGTAAAACTGCAACCAATAAATTTTAATGTTAGACTTAAAATGTCTAAAATGACTAAAATTTGACAATCCAAATTTTAGGCCTTAAAAAGTTTAAAATTCACTAAATTATTGTGTTCAAGTCTAAAATTATTTTAAATAGGTAATAATTTTCTAATACTCATTTAACACAACCTCAAATGCTCAATAAAATGCTCCCACAACACTTAATGATTTGAATACTGTTACAACTACAACTTGTATTGCGGCCAATCAGCTTTTGCGTTGTTGGCTGGTCCACATCACTGGATCTGTAAATAGGAGAAGGAGGAGAACATGGAGACACACAGAGATGAACAAACTCACACATAGGGACAATTTAGCCTTCGGAGTAAACCGGAGGACCTGGAGAAAACCCACATACTGTATGTACAGAGAGAACATGCTAACTCTAAGGTCCCCAGCCAGGATTTAACCAGGCATCTTTCTTATTGGGAGGCAATATTTCTTCCAACTCAGCCACCATGTTGCCTGAGTTTAAGGCTTTTCTTTTGTAGATTTCTGTATGTCATGATATAGGTCTTAAATCAAACTCTTAATGGTCTTAAAAAGTCTTGAATTTGCGTTGGTGAAACTTGCAGAAACCCTGCTCTGGTTAAMTTGACTCAACAAACTGACCCGTGTAGCTCAATTAAACTAGTGGCTCTTTATACTCCCAGACAGTATCATCCTGTCTGGGAGTGTAATTCACATCCTCCGTAAATAAATATTGTTGCCAAGTGTTGTCTGATTGCAACTGGTGCTCTTTGTTTTATTAGGTACATTTGAGCAGTACAGATCAAAAGACCATCGACAGGACGGTGGCAGAGTCTGCTGCCATCATGGACCTGGCATCTGCAGCCAAGCTCCAAAATATTCTCCTCTATGGCATCCAGCTCCATCAGTCCAAGGTAAGAGCCCCTTCTCCGTTATTTTCTTTTGTTTCGTTTCATTAAGAGAGCTCTGACTTCCTGAGGAATGCACGTTAAAGGGAGGCCAAACAAAACAACATGTGAAATGTCTTTTAAGTGTGTTGTTCCAATGTCTTGTCAGGATTTTTTTTTTTTAGCTTCGGGCCAGGTTGCTGTCTTTTATCACCCATCTTTACGTGCGGAGGTGTGCACAGCCTTTTATGTACAAGTGGGAAAAGATGTGTGCGGTAGTGTGATTAAAAGAACAGGATATCAGCTTTTTTTTTTCTCCCCAAACTGCTTGAGCCATATTATTTGAACGGCATGCCAGAGGGATGAAAAGGATGGAGAGGTGCTTTAGGTGTAAAGCTCTGTGCAGCTCAAACATGTCGGCCCAACCGCCACAGCTCAACCYGTGTCATGGGAGGTCCTCTGTGAGGCCAGCCAAACATCCTCTGGATTGTTATGGTGGATGTGGTTGACCTGAAATCCATAATTTACGGCTCCGTAATTGCAGAATTACATAAAAATGAAATATTTATCCTGCGCAGTGAGAAATGTCAAGATTCAAGCTACCAAAGCTATCAAATCAAATCATGTTATTTTAGCCAGATGTGTACAGCAAAGCAAGACAAATGTTGAATATTCACGCGTTCTTGGCCCTAAATGTGACATCCATCATGATTTATGATCAGAGTGAACTGCAACTGTGTGACAAATGAGTTTTTCTTGGCAGCTGCATCACTTCACAAATCAGTGGTAAAAGCCTCGGTGCCTCAAGCAAGAGGATGTTTGAGCAGATTAGGTTCATCCAGTCCTGAATCCAAAAACAGGTAAAAACGGAGCCAGGATTTGTCTGTGGTCATCGAGAGCGTGAGGTGTGTCGGTTCTCGACATCACAGCGTCGTCTAATTAAAAGGAGATGTTGTGTTTTTATGACACAGAGGCACGAAGCGCCCCGCTGTTTCACATGTGAGTTCGATTGTGATATCAGATGTTGGCCATTGTGTTTTTCCTCTGAATTATGGAGTTTAATGCTGTTAATTTGTCATCCTGTTCCACTCCTGTTAGAGAACAGAGGAAAAAGAAAGGGAGTGAACAGAGATAATGTGTGTTTCACCCTGATAAAATGCTGTGAGATAGTGGAACAACAGAAAACAGCCTCCTATAAATCACTGTTAGCATTTTGTTATGAGTGTAATTCTTCCCAGATGACTTTTTTCATTCTTACTGAGATGCTGATTAAAACATCTTCTGTAAGACTCTAAATGTGACTCAAAATGCCCCTTTTATGTCTTTTAAAAGCATTAAAAACATTTACCTTTTACCACAGACATTGTTAGAAACATTTTGTGTTCTAAATTTTTGAAAGATAGAAAGAGCATATAAGCTCCGTATTCTTGTTTTATGAATTGTTTTAAGCAGCCAAATAGTTATTTATCAGTTTGGTTTCTTGAGAACTGACATGTGTTTGCCACATGGCAGCATAATCTGGATCAAATTTTCTGTTCTTTCAAAGAAAGAATAAGTTTTCCTCCCAAAACTCTCTGGATATCTGTGTTAGGGAATCCGGTGCAAACAGAAAAATACAGCTTCTATCCTGAMGTTTAAACAAGTAGCTTTTCTAACATTCAGTTTTTCTGTAAAAGAATGTGAATTTAGGTGAATAACCTACAGAGATTTAAAGAGACAGTCTCAAAATGAGTTGATCTGAGACACACCTCAGAAAAGGGGCTTGTGGAGTTACAATAAGGAGTTTGTAGTTGCGTTTTTTATAGACCATGGATTTAAATGTGTCATTTAAAAGCATATATCTACTTTAAAGCTAGTTTAAGAGAAAAGAGCTTTTCTACAACTAGGACTGGGCGATATGATCAAAATTTTATATCACGGTATTTTCAACATTTTCACCGCTAGAAATAAGTTTTGAACTTTTTCCGCTCTCCTCTCCTCCTGCTGCTCAGCGGGCGCTTTCATGTCCTTGCACACCAGTCAATTCTAACTCCACTACGAACTACTTCCTGCAGGCTTTTCACAATAGAACCACGTTAAGTCTCCCATCAGCATAACGTCTCCATATTAACTAACCACGTTAAATCTAACTGTGCACGTCACTGAAGAGGTGTTTACTGATTCAGCGATGGCGAAAATGGGATGTTTTTTTAAACGTCAGTCAATATAAGCAGCGGAATCGCCACCCGCTGCTGCAACTAGCTGCTCCAAACATGCTAACGCATATAGCGGTGCAGCAAGGAAAAATGTCCCCCGGGAAACAACAGTTCACTGGCGGCCACGACGAAACGTTCCGCTATTTAAACTGGAATGTCCGGTATTTAAAAAATTCATATCATAACAAAAATAAAAACCGGTATTCGGTACAAAACGGTATACCGCCCAGCACTATCTACAACACAGATTTGTTTTCTGAATGTCATGAAGTCCAATCTTGAGTCTGCCAACAATAATAAATAAACTGACCAATAACKAACCAATAACTGGCCATTTTAAGGTGTTCTGAAACGTTCTAACCCAGTTATTTCAGTCATCATCATGAGTTGATTATTTAATTATTTAAAAATTTTAAACTCAATTTTATTTATTAATTTCTCCAAAATGACAAAGCTAATTTTATCCTGATGCCTAGATGTTGCTTAAATAACAGTTAAAACTAGAAGCACTCGGAGAGTGCAAACCTCTGCCAAGACCAATTTCCCCCATCCTGTAATAGAGTTACAAAGGGGCACACTAATACTACAGTGCCACCTACTGGACACTTTGAAACCCACACCCTGTGAAAGCATCACAGCTTTGCCGATCTCAGTGTTAAAAGAAATAAAATCCCTGTATCCACATCGTGATCCGTAACATCACCAAAATTTAAAGATGGGTTACTTGAGCCAGTACCCACATGCGGTAAAAATGTCATGACAATCCCTCCACAAGTTTTTGAGTAATGTTGTCGACAGACAGACAGACAGACAGACGGACGCGACCGAAAACATTACCTCTCCCTTGGCGGAGGTAATGAGCAAGTAATCTTTATTTTTAGTAAGTTTCAGTAAGTTATCTACCTTATTGATATTTATTTAGTTTGCGTTAAAGTATTGTTATTTTTTTTATTCATTTAAAAAGATCTTGCTTAGGTTTTTCATTGTTCAGATGAAATCCCAGTCACTGCACTGTGTAGGGCAGGATGTCGCCATGGATGTTTTTCCTTTTTCTTATCAAGAGGAGAAAGTGGAATGAAGTCATGGGTGAAGAACAACAGTGCCGCTGAAAGGACCTCTGATCAAATCTCTTCTTCTGAGTCATTTTTCGTTTGTTGTTACCTCTCGAAAAATGCCTACAAGCCAAACATCAGGTGCGGCAACGTGCGAAAATCTAAAGATGTTGACGGAGAATACTGGAGACACCAGATCCTCATAAACTGACATGATGTTGTGAAAACTCAGATGTTATATACTCTCACAGTGTTAGGAAGTGTCATAGGATCCCTTCACACTCAGGGTCTTGGTGGCCTGTCATCTGTTGAAAAGAGAGTTGTCACTGTGATATATGGGTGTTGTAATCCCTGCAGTGAGAGCCCTGATGTTTACCTAACCCCATATTTCCTGCTCCTCAAAGAGCCCGGACCGGGAATCCTAAACCTGAGAAGAGATTAGGAAGAAAGAAAAAAGAAGAAGAGAAAGAACTGGGGAGGAGGGAGGGAGGTAGGAACAGGAAAAGGAGAGGACTCTAAAGGCCTATTCTTCTCCTCCGGTTCAGATGTAGGTCTGAAAGGCAGACGGGTGAAACTGTACACGCCCCAGCGATGAGGCTGCTGTGACACCCGTGGAGTCAAAGACTGGCACTTCTGTGGTTCAAACACACTTTTCTCAGAATAAACGAACGTCCGTTTTATAACAATAAGTCCTATAAACACCGTTGTGGGAGCAAAATGTGGATGCATAGGTTAGTTTGAGTTGGTGGAAATAGTGTACATGTGGAACCCCAAGCCTGCATAAAACCACACCACAAATCATCAGAGTTGATGAGAAGCTTCAGTTTGTTTGACCGACATCTCCATACATTATGTTTTGCCAGCATGACAAAAACAAATCTTCAAAGACATCAACAGTCAGGATTTACTGCAAAGGTCCAAATGATTCTCAAGTTAGTGCCCTCCAGAGGAATTACAGACTAGAATATTTTCAGAATGACTAACTAAGGTAAATGAGTTTCTCCAGAGGTCCTTCTCAGCACTTTATCTTTCTTCTACCAGGCTAATCTCGCTTAAATCTAATAAGGCAAACAGGCGAAACCTTACAAATAAAGCTGGTGCTGCCTTAGCTCTGTAGTTGTTTGTATCCTGCAGGATTCACAGGAGATTAGGGATTACAGCTGTCTCAGCACTCCAGAATGTAGCATGTGTCTTCAGATGAATAATCAGCTGGTGTTAGATTCCCTCTGATAAATGAGTGTTGACATTTTAACGTCTTCTAAATTTTTGTCATTATTGAAGTTTTTAAAAATGTAATATTATCCTAATTACACACCACATGTATTAGTCTTTTTTGTCTTGTGCAGGTCTATCAATTAAGAAAGTGTAAGTACTGACAATTATAATTATTAATTGTGACATCTAACTCCTAAACTTTATCTGAACATCTCCTAGATGTGGATTAGTTTACTTGGCTTCCTCTGCAGAATCTTTATAACTCCACACAGACAGAAGCTCAGGGATCTTTCACCTCCTCATTGATGAATTTGTAGAGAGTTATAGCTGGAGCCTTGGGAAGGATTTGCACTGCCTTGACATGTGAACAGCATCAAACTTTATCTTCCACGCAGAAAAAAAAAGCTCCAGATGTGTGTTGGTATGTGTGAAACTGTACCGCTGGAGTTTGGTTCGAAGAATTAAACATACCAAAGCAGTGTTTACCCAGCTTTGATTTCTTAGATTAAAAGGACCAGCAAGCGCTCTGTTTTGGCTGATGTGACTTTGCTTAGGCTCCTGCAGA